AGTCTAATTTCTGAAGACGTACATATTATAGTCGGGATAATTGTCACTTTTGCTCAACTTGCGAAATGTCCCGAGATATTGTGATTGAATTTTACCCAGTTCTGCGTCGATTGTTTATCAGGAAATACCCGACCATTTTATTGCACTTTGACCATGAAAGTTACATGTAAATGTAAAAACTCAGAAAATGAAGGTAAATTTACAATAACATTTGGTATACCTATTTGGCACAGTGTCGATCCAAGAACTCACAAAACACACACACACTTTATATATATATATATATATATATATATATATATATATATATATATATATATATATATATATATATATATATATATATATATATATATATATATATATATAGTTCATTTATCGCTTAAGCAAATTCTTGAGAAATTAAATTAAATATGAAAAATTTAGTAACATTGTCGACAATCATGAACTTAACATTTTTATGAAATATTACTTTAGAATCAGGAATATCGCCTACATTTTTCCACATGTCCTATTTTATCTTCGGCAAGCATCGAATTTCCGCAAGTCCCAATTGTTATTACGGCAAGCATCAAACGCGAGTCTTTTTTTAAAAAAATACTTATCAAACTACCCGTCGTAATTTTTGAAATATAGACTAATCTTTTGAAACGCGGGTCTTTATTGTGCAAAGAAAATGCAGAAACGTTGATCAGTAATTTATATATTCGATACCAAATGTCTGTATGTTGTACGTTCAGTCTTCCATTCATATTCGGTAATTGCTTTCTAAATTCATACTTATTTGATCAGTTCTTCAATTTTATATTTTTGTCATTTTAATTAGTTATGCTTTGTACTGGACTGTCTAAAGCAGTATTTCTGTTAACAATTAAAAGGATTTTAATATAAAACTTAAATAGTTTTGTAATATTATTACAATTAACATTTTGTTTGTCTCAAGATTAGTGTTTACTTTTGACATGCAAATGTTAGATTAGATGTGAAAAAATCGATCTAAAAGGAAATAATCTAGTCCCTCCAAATTATTCTCATTTTCTTTATTGCCCCTTCCTCATCCTCCCAAATTGAAGTAATTTTTTAATTCCACAATCATTTTATATGGTTAACGTTTAAGTACTCTCAACAATACAGATTGTAAGTGATGTTTTATATGTTGGAAATTGTAGTTAGCAACAAGCCGAACCGGCAGTTACTAACCCTTACCTAGATATGATATTGTGCTGTGTCACTATTTTTCGTCGTTTTTTAAACATAAAAAATCATGTCATGATATAAATTTGAATGGCTCATATATTTTCTAATATACGATAAAATAAATATGAATTTCTTACAATATATTCACAGAAGTAAATATACTTCAGAATATATGATATCGTAAATTTGAAATTATGATATAAATGAATGGAAATAATTTTGTAATGTATTAATTTTTGTGATGTTCGATGTTATTTCATTTTCAGCCTTGAATTGTTTCCTGCACTCACACTACCTCTAAATAATTTTTTTTTAAAAAATCAGTAAAATAGATCTGTCTGTTCACAGAAGCATTTGTGTACATTGTACCTATGAACTGGTTATACTACTATCAGTTTCCTGGCATAAATGTGACATTTTATGACAAATTTATGTCCACATATGACGTGAGAGAAATAGTTTGGCAAAATATAGATAATTTATGTGAGAAGAGAAATGCGAGTCGTGGTCGTTTAAGTGGTAGAGCTGCTCTCTCTCCCTATATATATATATATATATATATATATATATATATATATATATATATATATATATATATATATATAAATATATATATATATATATATATAATGTGTGTGTATATTTAAATTTTAATTTTTTTAACTTTTTTTATCCATTATATGTTGTAGGTTATGTGAAATTATTATTTTATAGTTGACCTGTCCAAAAAAAAAGTTAATTGCGTGACTGACCTACCAAAATCGTTGATATATTTATTATTATGCACACAAGTAATACATAGGTAATATTTTCTGAATATGGGATTAATATTAGAATCATTATTAAAAGCAGCGAATGTGGACATGTGAGAAAGCTTGCCAGTAGCTTCTCGTGGGTCGGTGGTTCTTTCCGGTGATTTCCCGGTTTCTTCCTCCACCATTAATACTGGCCGCCATGAATAGCCTATCATGTGCTGAAAAATGGCGTTAAGCCCAACAACAACATTATTAAAAGAAATAAACATATTTATATTGCTCTGAGTCAAGAATGTGTTTGCATTGTTCTATATTATAGTTAGTATAATTTGAGTAACACCTTCTAATTTATCTTGTAAACAATTAACTCCTTCTAGAATCAAATGTTCCATTAGGCAAACTATCTTTTTAGAAAATGTTAATTGTGACCCTAGGTCTGGTAGAGGAGTATATAATCTTATATACGGGAAAATTGTTTAGTCCAGCAATATCATCTGAAGGAGAAATCAGTCTTATTGTTGTGTCCAGTACATTTGTATTGGAATTTATTTCGAATTCTTTTTTTACTGGAAATAGTGTTTATCTTAAATACTATTCCCGGCAGTAACGACTTTGATCTATTGTGAAACTCAAGCAAAGATATATTCTTGAATATTATTGTTGTGATAAAACAAGACTGTTGGCACATAATTACTATTCAGGCCGTAACAGCATATCAACACTTTCAGCATTGGATTTATTTTGGAATACCACTAAAGTTTATTCAGAACTTTAATCAGTAGGTCATCGAAATTTAAGGATTATTTGAGATTTAAATCACAATGTAAGTTTTTGTTGTTGACATTTTCACTTTGTATTTGTGGGTAATAATTTATTTGTTGAATTTTAAAACATTTGTTGATTTTAGCTCTTTTCTGTTCCTTTAGGGCCATGGATTCGTTTTAGAAACGTGGCGGCTCGCCTGGGATACGAATTTCTCTAAAATAATTCAGAAAATTTGTTTATGAAATTTAAATTCATTTTTAGAATTTTCTAAGTCCGAGGTATTTTTGTTTTACATAGTTTAGAAATTAACATTGAAACGATTATGCTTTTACAATCTCCAAAGAGGAGAACTTTGTTTTAAATCCTTCGCAGCAAAGTTATGAATCCTTAAAATAGGACGAATTACTCCAGCATGCCAGACAATATGACCTTCCCGAGTTTAAGGCTTTTGTGGACAAGCAAGAAATAAATAATATTTTCATCCAATGTTAGGGGAAAATAATTTTCTGGATAAGTGCTTGAGGTTTGATTAGTAAGTCCCCTTTGGCTCTCACTTACATGTATAGAACTGAAATTAAAATACATGAATGAAATCGTGTTAAGAAAGTCAGAGCTTGATACCGAAGAACAAATGCAGTGTCAGAATGACGGTTTAATATTTCTAAAAATATTAGGTTAGAAGCCCCTTTAAGGAAAAATAGATAAATATTTTCATTTTGAAAAAAATAATGAAAATTGGTAAAGTTCATCATATATACACTTCCCTGTCAGTGCAGCAGAGTGCTGTTTATGATTTGGTTAATGAGTTATCTTGAATGGTTATAAGTTGGTACTTGAAGCTAATCGATAAAGGTTTAGCAACTACAAAAAAAGTAGACAAATCCATGTCGAATTTGCATTAGAAAAATCTAATTATTTGATATTTGATAGGTGGTACTTAGTCAAGAAAGTTTGTCAAGATTACGAAAATCTCAGACGACTCATATTAGTTGAAGAGTTCAAGAATTGCGTCTATATTATCGTTAAGAATTAACTTAAAGAGCACAAAGTCGAAATTTTAGAAAAAAAAGACTCAGTAGCTCATAAAGTTTATTTCGCCAGTGATTCTTCCATTCAGCAGTTTTCTGGGAAAAGAAAAACTATTTCAGTCTAATAAGAGCACTTCCAAATCAATCTGGCACAACTTTAGAAATCAAGTTTCTGATAAGATTGATCAGATATCCTTATCTCTTTCTATGTTAACCTATTTCATGAAGAAAGGAAACGTTATCTCTGATTGCTATAGAAATCGAAAAATAAGCAACAGGATAAGACAGAATTTATTCCAAATGCACTTATTTGTAAGAGGTCAAAGTCAATGTCATATATTGAAAGCAATATATTTGCTGGATCAAACAACCACGAGTTAGATTTTATTATGGAGAACTATGAACCATTCATGTTCAAAGGCTATATAATCACGCATAGGTTATTCTGCAAATCATATCCCTATTAAAATTTTAATCAACATTAATTTCTCAGAATATATTTTTGTCAGGTATTTTGCCTTTTTCTGAGAAGTCTTCTTCTAATATAAGTGTTCTTATTCAGGAAAATGAGCGCGGCTTTGTTAATGTTCTTCTCCATTGTGTAAATGTATCATTAGATTTGGTCTCAGAACAAATGACAGTAGGAACAGTATAGTCTTTACCTATTGAGGGCAACAATTTCTTACGTGGCAATGAGCTAGTTGGAGATACGGTTGTGGTTAATCCACTTGTAACTGAAAAGTCTTGTTTGAATCAGAAAGTTGATCCTATTGAAAAAGAATCCCTGATTGTTCAGTCACTAGAGCTATGACCAAGAAAGCTCTTGACTACGGTGTTGATCAGGAAAGTATTCCTTCAACTGAAACATGTAATGGTCTGGCTTTAGATGAGGTCACGATTGCTCTTTGGATCAGCCAAAAGGTATTGATCTCAGCCATCTTAATTTACTAATCAATCTCTTTATTCTGACCAAAGTGACAAACAACAATCACTAGTCGTCGAGCATAGATGTGATGTGATGAGATTTTGATTTTTAACGTAGCTTTAACAATTTTTCATTCATATCGCTACGATGTCTGCAGTGTGACAGTTTATAGTGATATCAAGCAGTGGGGCATCATGCCGCAGACATGCAGCATTATGTCCCCACCAGTCACATTATCCTGACACCAAGCCAACTAGTCCTAACACTAACCTCTTAATTCTGAGCGCCAAGAGAGGAAGCTGTTAGTACCACTTTTGTAAGTCTTTCGTATGATTCGACCGGGGGATAGATCCCACGACCACCCACATCTAAGGCGGACGCTCTAACCACTAGACCATCGGAGCGGTGTCGAGCAGAGAAAAGATCTTGATATCTTGTTTGTTTCTGAGGGCTATTAGCGAAACTAAAGCCACGGAAGTACCTGTTTGGTATTTTGTTTAAAACAAATGGGGTCCTTACAAGAACACGGAGACCACTGGTGAAGAGTGGTCAGTGAGCTATCAAACTGTTGTCCCAAAGTATAATAGACAGGAAATTCTTAGTTTAGCACAAAAAAACTGATTTGACTGAAAATAAAGGGATTAATAAGACTTCTCACAAGATCGTGAACTATTTCAATTGGCCAAAAAACTAAAAGTGACGTTTGCAAAGTCTGTAGCTCTTGACACACTTGTCAAATGACAGGAACACACAATCAGAAGATACATAAAGCTCATCTGCAAAATGTTCTGCATTTGACGAATCATTTAGTAGAATAAGTGACTGTGTTGGTCTCTTACCCGAGACCACATCAACCAATACATATTGACCATAATGTGCGCATCTGTAAGATTCCCAGAGGAAATTCCTTTGAGAAATATTAGAACTAAAAGAATAGTAAAGGCTTTAATAACGTTTTTGTTTTTAATTCCGTGGACCACAAGTTGTTTAAAGAAAAACGTTCAATACAGAAATAAATCTTCTCGATTATGCTTTTAATTTTAAATAAAAATTGTCCAAGGCTTGTGAAGTTGGTAAAACTAATCTGCACTTTAATCAGCCAAAACTGAAATTAAGTTGTGATAAAAAAAAAAATGGAAATGGAATTTTTTTGTCTGGTGATAATGATCTCTCTTGCCATTACATCAAAATCCTCTTCACCCAATGGTCCTTACACAGTTGAAAAGAGATTTAACATGAACATTATTTATATAAACCGATACCATTTGGGATGAAAGGTTCACCTTCTACTTTTTAACATTTAATGAACATGATTACATCTGGTCTAGATAATTGTGATCCTTCTTATATCGATAATGTCAACATCTATAATGATACTTGGAAAGATCACTTCGAGACAATTTGGAAATTTCTGTATAGACTCAATGATGCAAATTTCACAATTTATCCCAGAGAGTTTGCCGTGCTTGTTACATTTCTAGGATGTATTACAGAGCATGGACAAATTAAACTTAAAGATGCTAAGGCCAATGCTATCTCTGAATTTCCTGTGCCTATTAGTATATTATTTCAGCTCCTCTGATATTGGATTTAGTGATCACAATCCCTTTACTTTCAATGGCAAGACGAAAAAAAAGGAATTGTTAATGCAGGGTTTGATGTTGCAGAATCACAATATGTTGTTGTTGGGCTTAACGCCATTTTTCAGCACACGATAGGCTATTCATGGCGGCCAGTATTAATGGTGGAGGAAGAAACCGGGAAATCACCGGAAAGAACCACTGACCTACGAAAAGCTACTGGCAAGCTTTCTCACATATCCACATTCGCCCAATCCTAGACTCGAACCCACGCAGACAGAGGTGAGATGGCAGTGATCCGTAACGGACAGCGCATTCGACCACTTAACAATATGTAGGTAAGAGTACATAGTTCGTTTTAAATACTTCGTGTGAAACAAATTATGTACTTTTAGCTACATTTATCACTCTAACGCAAAATTTACTGAGCTACAGATTGAACAAAATTTGTGATGCTGTGTGTGAATGAACTATAAAAGAAAACTATAGAAATATCATTGCTTCATGTATACTTTGTGTCATTCATTCAAATTTATCTTATGTAAATTTTTATCACACGTATATTTGACTAAAATATTTTTTAAAAACCCACTTTATTATATGTATTTCTTTATGAGTGGAGGTATTATGTATATTTAATGTATAGTTTGTTTGGTTTTATGTTTTTATTTTATGATGAGCTATGGATTTTGTAATATGGTAAGGCTGACCTTGTTCAAAATCATTGACAGTTTTAAAAAACATTGTCTTTTTCTGTCTGAAAGATCCATATTAGGAATATTATCTTAAAATGAGTCAAGAATATTATGTTTACCATGTTTTTTGTTATAATTTTAGTAACAGACCTTCTAATTATAGCTAAGATTTTATCTTGTAAACATTTGAATCCTTCTAAAATGAAATTTTCCACTGGGCAATATATTTTATTTCAGAAATAATAAATGTGACCTAAGTCAGGTAGACAAGTATAAAATATGGTTTACTGAAAAAATTATTTATTCCTGCAATAACATCTGAAGCAGGAATCCATCTTGTTGTGTCCAGTATTTTGTTTGAGCTGGAATTTTTTCAAAATTATTTTGTTCCCTGTAAATATGTAGTTCTCATCTAAAATAATATTCTTAGAAACAGAGATTTGGATTTATAGTGAAATTCAAACAAGGATATATTCTTGGAAATTATTGAGTCAACAAAATACTGTTTGCAGGCCATCACAGGAACATCAACACTTTTAGTGTCAGATTTAATTTGTATCTTCACCAAAGTTTATTTTGTATTTTAGGGAAAGAAATTTGTTGAATTTTACAAAACTTGTTGGGTTTTCACTTTTTCTGTTACTTTAAGACAATAGAGTCATAACACCATAATCTTGTTGCGAGACAAGTTGTACCATATTCGCATTGCACTTTTCGTACAAGTCTTGTTGCAAAGCAGCCATCTTAATAACATTATATTAACATTATATTCTCTTGAACAACGTAGTACTTCAACCCCATCCTCCACACTATAACATCCTCACCAATTTCCTCATGTAGCCAAAATCATGTCTCCATAGTAAAACAACCTCTCCCCAAGACTAATCCTGGCCCTGAATTAAAGCTTGTCTAGAAATGTATCCATGAATGTCCCAATCAAAGTGACCTTAATACAAAACATAACCCATTCTACTGACAGATGATAGGTAACAATTTAAGCTCCTTTCATATTTAAAATAGAAATAAAAATTATTACTGCCAACCATCAAATTCCCAGAAGCATGATTCTTTTCACTTTAAAAATGCTTAAGAAAATGACAAATTTCTGTACAAAAGAAATTTTTTATATTAAAGGAATTTAAAATAATAATTACAAATACATGCATGTATATTTTTAAATTTATATGGAAAAAAGTCAACTTTAGAGCCTGGCAATTTTGATAGAAAATACATAAAATGTATTAAATTGCTAATTCTGAACGACAAGCATTATCAACTTTATTGATCAAAACATAATGATAACAAAGACAACATAACAAAGATGAAAGGAAAAAAAGAAAAGAAAAGAAAGTTAAGAATATACCAGCTTGAAACTGTCAAAAGTTCAGTGAAATGCATGCATTTTTATAAGTTTTATCTCTGATTTTCACAATAACAAGTGAACATTCCTATTTGTACCAGTTAGCTCTCCAGAAATGACACACTGAAAATGCTTGAAAAAAATTAAATAGTAAAATTTCCTAAATTATTACAAATTACTAGCTAATTAAAATGACATTTAATTTCGTTCAATGAGTATTTGTCACAATTAATGTTGAAAAATGATGTTTCCAAAAACTTCACTCTTCATCACCTCTCAATACCATATCAAACTATCATCTACCTAGAATTCAAAGTCAGATGCAGATGGACTCGTGAGAGAATATGAAAAATATCATTGAAATGTTAAAAGGAAGCCACCATGAACAAAATATCACTTGTGTGCTATACTGTAAATCATAACAATTTTGCTTCATTCTATATTTGTAAATTCACAATCTAACTTTTTCTTTTGCAAAGCAAATTTAATAATTTACTCACTTACACAAGTTTTATAACTATTTTTCTATAATGTATTCTCAAATGTTAGCTATCTGATTAAGCTTTGTGTCTTGTCATTTTACCTGCAAGTGTCATTTGATATAATGTAGTTTCTGATATTATTTGGATAAAGAAATGATTTAGTAATAACTGATACTCCTAAGATTTGTGCAAGAATAGGACAATCATTTTCTTTTCAAATTATGACTTTGGGGGACAACAATTTTAAACAGAGACAAAAACCCTGACAACCAAATGCCTGGGACATTTCCAGATTGGACTTCTTCTATAAGTTAGGTCAGCCACCTATCAGGTCTGTCAAAAATGTTATCTAATTGACCTGAAAGAAACTTAAGGCTAACAACAAAATGTAGCATTTTCATTAATATTGACAGATGATTGTAAATTGTTAATACTGAGTCCCCTGCTGGGGCTCCATTTGTTGGTCCCTCCATATTATGAAGTTTATCTGCTAAATTGCATCGAAAAGTTATAAACTTTGCTTACCAAGCAAAGCATGTAACCTATGAATGGGTAACAGTACCATTTCTCTTCTCCAATAACAGGCACTCATTTGTACTACATGAATTGTAATGAGATTTGATCTGGTTAAATATACTATAGTAGTACCTTTACGATTGTTCGAAAATTAAGCTAAGCTAGGGGATTTTTTTTACTGATAAAAGCCCCAAATACAATCACTTTTATCCCAAAAGAAATGAGATAATTGCATTACAAGTTATTCTATTTAGTTCAAAGACTTGGTAGCTGCTGATTTTATTGGTGCAGTGTTTTCCGTAACTGTGCCATATCTCTAGTTCTATCACACAAACTAATTAAAAAATTTGGAGCCACTGTTTGTTCTGACTGAAATTAAATTTTAAAAAATGCATTTCCAGTTTCACTTCTGTTTTCAAACTTTGATTAAGAAATATGAGGGACTTTTCCAGCATTCAGAAACTAATCCAAGGCTAATGAGTAGTCATCCCACAAGTACAAAGAAATACATTAGCCTGAAGGCATACAGAGATCATAAGAGCAGAGGTCAATGACATGATTATTCAGAAATCCACACCTAAGCATGCAGAGACTGTGAAATGTTTGGAAATCATGTTAGTTCTGTGAATCCCTCTACAGAAGAATGTGAATAATGGTGCAGTCTCATGAAGAATAACAAAACTGACCAATCATTTAGTTTTTGGGAGGGGCTTGACGTGTCAAAATAATAGTACAAAAAACCCATAAGGCTTTGTGAGCTAAATGGATTTT